GACAAACGTGATGCCAACGCCACCCATTTGTCTGGTGCTGAATCAACCCGATCTGAAGAAAACGCAATTTGCACTTTTTCACAATTGAAGCGACCGGTTTTCCCTTTAGCGGAATCAGACGTATGAATTCTCTGAAGCTGGTGGTCAAGTGGTTTAAGTCATCTAATGCAACAAGCGTCTAGAAACCAAACAATATTCCGATATGCTTGACTTTCGCGAGAGACCATTTCGCTATCCAACACTGAGCCAAGCAAACACGTGATCTCCAAACCCTTGCACCTTCGGGCACTTCAACTGATCACATCTTCAGACAAGTTTTCACCAATATTAACTTTGCACTGACTTGCGGTAGTTTTGATTGGTGTGTTGCGACTACCCATCCGGTCGAACAGTAATGAAGGAGTAGATGGAAGCAGTACCTCGGTGAAGGTTGAGGAGTAAGGCAAAATAAAATCGCGAGGAAATTCAGTAAATGCACGGATACCATTGTGCAAGACACTCAGCCATGTGACTCAGTGTCTTTGTTCATTGATTAGATTAGTCCTTTAAGACTAAACGACTGAAATGTGCCAGGGACATAGTCAGGGTTTTCTTTTCTTTTCATTTTACACTTTTCAGGAAGGGGGAAGCGACCAATCAAAGGGCCGCCATGCAAAACACAATAGAGGAAGTTAGGCGGTGGTGGTGGGGTTCGAACACATCCCCGGGGTGATAATTTAGTGACGTTACGACCGGGTCACCACCTTGAGCCTTCTTCAGATCATTATCTGTCTCGATGTGCATCACTTACTGCAGAAGCACACTTGATAACAGCCCTAGTCCTAACTATTGTAATCTATGCCCTTTCACCGGTGTTCAACAAATACCGAAAACACCACACCTAATCTCAGTATTGCTTGTCTACCACACTCGTGCGATGCGGCATAAACAGCAGCAGTCCTCGGACACCAATAATGTGATTTTATTATGGCTCCACAACAATCATATCTGTACTGTACAACGGAGTCGGTCAAACAGCCGCAAACTTCAACGGCTGCGTGAACCTCCTATCCTACCTAGCCCGAGAGTAGCCTTCGAGTCACATGCAGAACAAAGTTGGAGTGGAGAGAGGGATGAACAACCAGTTTCCACGGTGAATTCCGGGCAAACAAGCAGTAAACGCTTAAGCGACTATGACTTCTCGTATACAGCGACCTACTACTACCCTGGCCAGGAAATGTTTGCTAACAACACTTCCAGCTCGGAGAACCCTCTATCAACAACAGAAAACTGAATTTCCGAATCAAACCTTCATACAGAGTAGATCAATTTGCACTGAACACATCGCTAGTAAATGAAACCGACTTACAAATTTCAACTGGTCTCAGCTTTCAGATCCTCTCCAGGTTTGACGAAAATCGCGTTACTTCTACGTGGTATTTAACTAAAACCCATGAACTATCGTTTCTTGTCAAACGTCGGTGAACGACCATGAAGAGATTTTTTCCCTTGTCTTAAGTCGGTGGTTTTTTGTAGGCCACTAGTTCCATTGTGCTCGCTTCTGCTCGAATCGTGCTGAGCACAGACTCGGTCCACATTCATCTGTTAGTTGATAACCGTAGCCCGATTGACCAGTGGGAACCAGGACGGCATGTGACGATTGGCTTGCCTTCGCCGGGCCGGAAGTGTCAGGACGAATAAAAGAAGTGTCTCAGCGTGTGCAAACAGGGTGCATCGATTTTGGTCATCGAACTGAAACGCATGGATCATGAAGTCCACTACCCATTTGGTTTTCAAATAAAACTCACATGGTCAACTATTTTAAGACGTAGGGCTTACAAATACCTTTCCTCAGAAGTAATTCGCTTGTTATTTAATCACCTAATCGTATCAATAGTGGCATTTTGACCGTGTACGCCAGAAGTCAACCAAAATCAAGACCCGTGAACGCAAGCGACAGACGATATATGTCCAGTGAGTAATCTGTTGTCTATTTAGGGAACTACTGATCGTCTTCAAGTCAATCAACGAATTATCTAAGTTTGCAAATCATAAACCTGAATGTTAGTGCTGAGATGAGCAAAACTAGATATTTGCAGAAGTGGGGTGTATAGAGAAAAAGTGAAACGGTCTGATTAGTTTCCCGGTGGTCAAGTGGGCAGTACGCTTGAATTCGAACGAGGTCCAGAGTTCGACTCCCCGTTGGGTTCATGAGATCCAAAAAAGTCAATACTGCCGTCCGGTGCCATCGGCATTTTCGTACACGTCTCTTTTATTCTTTTCAAAAATCCATATGGACGAAAACCCGATCGAAAGACCAATACATCTAGTTTCTACCGGCGATATGAGTGCCTGGTTGTTTTCATAACCAATATCGTTTTTTTTAATATTTCCAGCGACTTTCAACCGATTTCGTGAATTGTACAGTGTACCTATTCAGTTGCGAAACCCGGAAATGGCCGTCCCTGAAATACCTTGTCATTGTGTGCCTTAAGTAGCCCGTAGATGATCACGCGCATATATGGAACGGCGAGAGACTGTGCGTGTCTCTCTACACTAGAACTGGATTCAAGCCATGTCACGAAAGTATGCTCATCATTTTTCTGTCCCGGAATTACTGACATTATACGAGGCTACTAGGACTGGTTGTTCTCCGTCCGGACATGTTTTGGTTCGTACAGCTCTCACTGCGTCCCAAATTGGGAAACGAATTCGGATGGCCACAAGACAAGCTGTTCATAGATCTTGTGCACGCGCTAGTTCGATACACTATAAGCACTAGGAATGCGGCTAGAAAATGAAAACGCAAAGGTGTAAAGGGCCAGGCACCGGAGGAAGGCATGTGCGAAAATCAACAACAACAACAACTATCGTGCGTCACAACACAAGCGGAGTCAGTGACCGACTACAATGACTGTGCTACCTAATGATAAAAAAATCTATGGTGTTCACACTCTGGCGGGCAAGTGAGGTCGCTGTGAAGTGCACGGAAGTGATTGGAGGAGTGAAGACCGGAAAGGGGGCGAACGGAGTGGAACGTGGACGTGAACGAAACGGAACGGAACAATGCGAAGTGCGTGAGCGAGGAGAACGACAATTGGGCATACAGGTTGTTTATTTTCAAACAGACAGAAAATAGTATGGATTGGCGCAAAATAGCTAATGTCCAGATAAGAAAATTCCTCCGTTTGAACCGGGATAGGTGGGTCACAGACTGGACCGAATTCACGACCGTTAGACCCACTCACGGGGTTTCACCAACACATTGAGTAACTCCTGATTTCGTGGATCTTTCGTGGTGTCGTAACAATAGACCCAGGACTAGAAGAAGAAAAAATGGATGAAAATCAGAACATTGTTATGTGCGCATAGAAACACGAAAAACGGTTTACTATTATCCTATGACAGACCCGAAAGTGCAGTCAGGCCGGTTTGAGAACAGATTTTGGAAAAAATCACACGTTACAGTAGTCATTGGTAAAAAAAAATCACATTCTGGAGAGGAACAACAACTTACCGCGTATAACGGTAACGACATCAGAATGCTTTCAACACGAGCTTCGGGTGTCGCCAGACCAAATTTCGTACCACGATCGTAGATCAGATTGAACTCTACGTATCGTCCCCGTCGAACCAGTTGCCATTCTCTGGGGAAGGTAAATATATACAGCGAGCTTAAAATAAGTGAATCAGAACGGGAAAATCTTGATAGCCTGCCGTGTGCAGGGTCCGGTAGATCACGAAAGAGCAGACAGAACCGAGCACGGATAGAACGAATCATGAAAAAATCAATACGAACACGCCCACCAGAACTAGGGCGCACGCAATCGTGGTGAGAAAGGCAACGTGGGTAGGTTGCTTTGGTAACAGGCACGGTCAAGGGATAGATCGAAAACCAGGGTAAGAGTAAATAAGGTGGTCGGCTTAGGTGTGCGTGTGAAGAACTGAAAAACAAACGTACTTTAGCTAAACAGAAAGTACTCATGTCCTTGAAAGTGAATGGTTCGATAGAACAGTTAACGGGGGAGGGAACTACAGTACATTTTACCAGTGGATGGGCGTGACTGGGTAAAGTGTTTTAGTGATATGACACTTTATTACGATTCGTTACTTCATGACTGGCTATCCTTCGGACTTTAGTTTTATGCGCCCCGGTCAGTGGACTCAGCCAACAACTGACCATGAAATCATCACATTCGATTTTATGGTCTTGAATAATAATGATAGGTTGTAATTGGAGATGGCCCGGTTTATTAGTCATCCTATTCGCACATCGAAGTCGTCGGGTGCACACTACACACACCGGAAATTCTGTTTCTGTTTGAAGATTACTCCCTCGAGCTCGCTCGCTCTCCGAATTCTGTCCAAATTTGGCGGCACAGCCGAATCAACAGTAGTGCGCTGTCGGGAAACTAAGGCTATACGACGAATTCGTCGAGTAAATGAGGTGTGAGCTAAAAATGTCGGNAAATGTCGGAAGCACTAGAGAGCTGTTTCGACCTAGTTGGATCTCATCAGCAGTGCGGATCCATCGACCCGTATATTTCGCACAAGCTGATGCCAGATTGTGTGCCAAAGAAATCAGGGTACGATAATCTTTATAAAAAGAAAAACGCTCCACAATCCATAGACCCAACTGAGGACTGAACCCGGGACCACACAGGTAGAATGCAAGCATACTACCCACTTGGCCACCGAGTAGCTGATCAGACTGTTTCTCATTTTGAATTTACACGACACAGCAC